CTGCTAATAATAAGTTTGTGAAAATCATTAAGTGATTCTTTGTTCATGGATTTTTCTCAACAAACAATTCACATTCAATATTAGTTTATAATTATTTTTTCTTGGAGTCACTATATACAAATAACAAAATATATATGTATGTCGTAGACGAATTGGAAAATTCAGTTTATTGTAAAGAACATCGCGCCGTTATTTTATCTTTTAGGCTTACAGCAATGACTTGATGCACCTTTAAGCTAATTACAAAACAAGAAAGTGGTGAGAGGTGATAGCAAAAGCTCATAATGTGGGAGGAATTTCCTCCACTGCTCGAACGGAGGCTCGTATCTTTGCGTATAGACGTGGCAAGTAAACGCAATTTTCAGGATTTTATTCTCGTATATCCCTTTCGCACTGTATATCTGCAATAATCTTATGTTGATGCAGGATAATGCACGGCCATATCTCGTACGGCGTTTTTGTAGTAGCCTACAAGAATGTTTAAAGGGGGTGGACATTAATAAGACATTAGATTGGTTGCCTCGCAATCCTTTTTCGAAAATTTTAAAAATTCAAAAAGTAATTCCAAGGACACTCTCTGTGCGAAGGAAGCAGGCAAATTATAAAAATCAGTTTAATAGTAGTCCGCAAGAAAATTAACTTTCAATAATTAATGTCGCTTAAGGCGTGGTTTACGTATATGCAAATGTTATTGACCACGGTTGATGTCATTAGAGGGTTGAAAACTCATACAGATAATTACCTACTTAAAATTTTTGAGAGATTGTGTTTAAGTCACCGACATATCCTGCATGAATCAATGTAAAAAGTCATTGTAAGAGTATAAAAGAGCTGAAGGGTTTGCTACCTTCAGTATTCTTGTAGGATTACTTTGAATACGAGGGGTGGTTTTGATGCCGTATAAAATGTTTTTCGAAATTTAAACAATGTTCAAAAAACCGGATCTGAATATTGAGAACTTTATACAAAAAAAACATTCTTATTTAAATGGAACACTCTGTGTATTTTCACATATTCGAATGTAGATTTTTATTCTGAATCATTTGGGATGTAGGTATCTTATATGTAACATATGCCCTTAAAAAAATATTACTGATTTTTGTAAATATTAAATTGGCAATGCATTGAACTACTATTTCAATTGTTAAATGTTTTTGCATTATTTAGTATTCACCGTCGTAAACTTACTTTATTTTGAGGCTGTTAGTTCTTTCTGAATTAAAAATAATAAAATGTAAAAGTACAAAATGTAAAATGAAGTCGGAAGTTATACAAATGGTGAAATTTTACATTTACATATTTTACATGTTTGGAAAGTGTGAAAAAATTGTTGCTCAAACATGTGGTTTATTCGACGAAAACTATCATATCAAACCAAATAATACAAGAGATTTTTTTTTTTGAAATTCGGGATTGCATCTTGAACGAACTATCAGAAATCAGTTACCAATAATGTAGTAAATAGAAGAATCTTGAAATGCTCGTTCCAAGAATATAAAAAGAACAACATTTTCTTCCATCTTAAATAATTTTTGGTTGTTTGGCTATTAAATCATGTACAGTGTAAGATGAGAATGTAAGAATACGGTAAAATCTGTGACTGCCGATTAACGTAGGAGAACAAAGCGATTAGTTCGTTGGTTTTACGACGTGTAATAATAAGTGTCACGATAAAGAAATACCACATTTATCGAGAACCCAACAACGCGTCGTGGTCTACCGGTCAAGATCGCAGTTTATCATAACGGAAGACAGCGATTCGAGCTTGCCCTTGCCGAAGTTCCTCTGTGATTTCCTTCTGTAACTTGTTTAAATGTTGGGCCAGTAATATTATTTTATTTCTTTTCTCTTTTTATTTCGCCAGACTAATATCTGTTTCTCTATAACCACCACATACTGATATATTCACGATTCCAAAAAAAAATGGTGGAAGATATCTCCTCAGACTTTTCAACGATTTATTATGCTGTATTGATTCTCGTTTCGTCAGAGATCAAGGGAAACTTCCCGTTTTTAAGCTGAAATAGAAATCTATAATTTTTCCGTAACTGCGGAATGATATTAACGACCGAACGAACCAATGAAGGTAGAAGTTGGCGGTAATTTGTGTCATCGATGTATTCTTTTTTCAATTCTCTTTTTATTTATTTATTAACATTGATTTTAATTTCACATGTACGGTCACTGATTCGAAGTATGGTTGATGTTGTGTTGGTCGGAATGTTTCTAGCGTACTTACTCGTAGAACGCGTCCAACTGTTAGGAAACAGGAATTAATGTTTGCACCAGAGCAAGCCTGTTCAACCTTTTTAACAGTTGGGCGAAATTTAATTTAAAAAAAGATCGGTTGTCTGTAAAGTCGGTTTACTGACGATAGTTGAACGTGACAACCTCATAAGAAAATACTGATGGAATGGTTTCATTTTTCAAAAGAAAATTTTAATTTTATTTGTTTGATAGATATTTTGTATGGATATAGAGAAGGAGGTAAATGGAAATGTATTATTTTATAGCAGCTGTCCACGCTGACGCATCGCTCACTCAAGTAGGAGAGAGACAGATGTCGAACGCTGCCGAACGCGGAGGCCGATTGTGCCTCTTTGTCGCTCGTTCCGCGCTCTCGCTTGCACTTCAAGCCTTAAATGGAACGCCTCAGAGCGAGGTAACGCCGCATGAGTCATGTTTTTTCGTGCGTGCAGCCGGCTCCATCGAATTATAAGACGTTGTCACGTCAAAATCATTGGCGGGTCACAGATTACTGACCCACTGTAGGTTAATATTTTTGTTACATAAGCTTTTTGAAGTCTTGTTTTGGACAACAAAAAAAAAAATAACATTTTCAACCAATGTGATTTCTGACATGGTTTTTGTTCTAATAATTTTCTTTGGCTAGGCATCCGGTTAGATGTATATACGAAGTCTGCTCAAAAAGTACCGCGGATTTTGTGTTTTTTCAAAAATTATTTATTTATTCATGAATATGTATTTTGTCCCCTTCAAAGTAAACCCCACCAGATGTTATACATTTGTGTAAATGTTTTTTCTAATCCTTAAAGCACTTCAAAAAATCATATTTTGTGATCTTGTTCAGCTCCACCTTTGACGCTGTCTTTATCTCCTCAATAGTAGCCTAACGTCGTCCTTTCATGGGCCTCTTCACTTTCTGGAACATGAAAAAGTCGGGGGGCCAGATCAGGGGAATACGGTGGCTGCGGCATTACTAGTGTGTTGTTTTTGGCCAAAAATTTGCTCACAAGCATCGATGTGTGAGTAGGATCGTTACTACAGTGCAAAAGCCAGTTTTTGTTCTTCTACAAATCCGAGCTTTTCTTGCGGGTTGCTTCGCGCAATTTGCTCATAACTTGAAGGTAATATTCCTTATTGACCGTTCTACTCTTTGACAAGAACTCATGGTGTACCACGCCCCTGCAATCGAAGAACACTGTAAGCAAAACCTTCACATTCGACCTAACTTGGCGCGCTTTTTTTGGTCTTCGATCGTGCGGCAGCTTCCATTGGATTGATTGAGCTTTGGTTTTCGCCTGATAACAATGAACCCATGATTCGTTACCAGTTATGACCCTCTGGAGCAAATTTGGGTCGTTGTAGATAGAGTCCAACAGCTCCTTAGCAATCTTCATGCGATGCTGTTTTTGGTCGAAATTGAGAAATTTTGGTATGAATTTCGCTGCGACCCGTCTCATGCCCAAATCAATGGTCAAAATCGAACGGCATGAACAATCGATATGTTTAGGTCCTCGGCAACTTCTTTAACGGTGAGTCGACGATTGGCCGCTTCACTTCATCAATGTTTTCGTCTGTTGTTGACGTGCTTGGGCGTACGGCAGACTCTTCGTTGTTCACATCTTTTCGACCCTCTGAGAACATTTTGTACCACCGATAAACGTTGCTTCGGTCCAAGGTAGCTTTACCATATGCCACAGTCTGAATTCGGAATGCGTCCGCGCACTTAATATTGTTTTTCACATAAAATTTGATAGAGATTCTTTGACCCATGTATTGGAGAAGGAAAAAAGTTGAGCCAAAATGCGTGCAAGCAAAGCAGCTGTTAAAAATTAACTGAACATTTTACTTGGCCAAACTTGTCGTTGTAGGTAAGAGACATGAGTACCAACATAACGCCACAAAAAAATTAAACATCGAATATACGAAACTCGCGGAAATTCAAAATTCAGAACAGACGTTTTAGACAGTAAAAGCAAATCAAACATATGTTACTTAATTAGTGATGCGCAGTATTTATTTTTTTCAAAATTCATATTTGAGAAACTTTTTACAAACATACGTTGACCCAAAACTACTTAAAGGTCAGGCCAGTTATTGAAGGGAAGTCTTACTTTAGCAACAATTTTTAGAAGTCATCTTCAAATTTTTGTGAGGAGGTTTGTGACCATGAACATACCTTTTCTTCAAAAAGGGTTTTTAGTGCAGAATAATTGTTGCAGTTCACTGAGTTTCAACTGAATAAATATTAGCAGGATAGCTGAGTTTTTTTTTTGAAAGTCTCGAAGGACTGTATTAAGCATTTGGTATTAGTTTCCTAATACTTTATACAGTTTACGGTTAAGTAATTATTGGCTATTATTAATAAACTTCTCTTTCAAATTGGCGAGAATTTTGAAACCGTCTTGGACCATTTACAATTTGTTTTGGCCTGGGGTTGGACAATCTTTAACTAGAGTATATGTTCTAATATAAAGGGAATTAAATAATGATTTTTGAAAGGTAATAAATAACAGAAATGTTGAATAGAAGAGTACTACAGTCAGATTATTTCAGTACACTCGCAATTTACACCTGAGATAAAAAGGTGTTTATTGTAATATAAAGACTATTTTATTAATGGTCAACCGTTACAATATCCTATCTTTTAATTATTGTATTTTCACGTAGAGATTATACAAATTTCTACTATAGATGAGTCTGTTGCAGGTGGTGGTTTGCATTAATGTGGCTTCGTTAACACAAAAACAGATTTGCTGATTAGATTCATTAGTTACCTACTTGTTCGAAGTGAGACGTGACCCATTGGAACTAGGATTTTGCTCTTGGACCAGATGGTCCACACGATAACTGCATAACAAGCACTTATTATTACTGCAGGACAAACGAATAATACAAGTGCCACGAGTGTCATGTAGACTCGCCACTGCCAAGGTTTTAGATCGATCCAACATTGGGGTACACCTGAAATAAAAATAAAAATAATTGTTTTCTATAGGTTGTGAAGTAAAATTGTTCAAAAAGACTATTCACAATTATAATTATTTTATTAATTAAAATTTACTTTTTAAAGTTTTATTAAAGTTGAAAGTTTGAAAATTTGATTCACTCATGTCGATAATTCGTTTTTATACAATACCTAGATACAACTAAAAATTGAAAGGAACGGTATATCTAGTGAAACACAATTTTGATTTAGAAAAGGTAGAGGAAGTATAGATGCAATAGGGGGAAGGGGGTAGTTGTGGGAACAAAAACTATCTGGACAGTGGCTTATTATGCCGATGATATTACACCAATACTGTTACATCATCATCGCCATAAGTCGTCAGTACTAAGATTGGTTGGACACGTATATCCATTCTTTCCTACATATGCTTAGCTAATCTTCGCATTTCCTTAAAACTAGAACATCCCACATCCTTAACTGTTTGTAAACAGTAATCTAATCTAGGTCTACCTCTACTCCTTTTTACTCCTGTTTCTGTCTCTAATATGTCTCTGACTAAACCTTCATGCCTAAGAAGGTGTCTTACCAACCTATCTCTCCTATTTTCTATTGACTTCCATAGAGTCCTCTGTTCTCCAATATCTTCTAATACCTCTTCATTTCTAACCTTCTCTATCCACGTCATTCGCCGGTATCACCACATTTCGAACCCTTCTAACCTTTTCTTTTCTTCTGCACCCACCATCCATGTTTCGCACCCGTACAGCACCGCGCCCCAAACATACACCTTTAACAATCTTTTTCGAATTTCTATATTAACCGTTCGCGATCAAAGAATTGATTTCTTTTTATTGAAGGCAACTCGACGCATGCTATCCCTACTACTCCTTCCGTTCTGACTTATCTGATTTTATAAAATAGAAATTTTGAAAAACTTTGGCGGTTGTTGTAGAACAAACAAAATAGCACAAACACCAACGCCAAAACACGACACTGTAGTTGTCCGAAGCACTTTTCGGTAACAAGGTTACCTTCTTCAGGGACTGAAGTGATCTGATTTCCTAGGTACCTAAGATTAGCCACTTCATATCTTTTGTTTCCTATCCTAATATTTGCCCTTTCCCTACTATTTCTTCCCTTGCATACCAGTATTTTTGTTTTACTTTTATTTATTTTCATAGAATAGTGTTTTGTCAATTAATTAAAATACTGAAAAAAAATAATTTGCATATGCTAGTTCATGTACAAACTTTACTTTTATAACAATATATATGTATACAAACTAGTAACTAAGTTACTTTCATTTTGTAAAATATCAAATTGAATTTTCAAATACATCAACAAATAAATTCGTTCAAGGATCACTCGGACAAGAGTCCAATATACATTTTTATATTTTTTCAGCACTTACGAGGTCGTAATTATTTTTACAGAGGTCAAAAATTTAGGTGCGCTTTTTCTATCAGTAATTTTTAGTTGTTTTTCGTCAATTAGAAATTTATTTAATGATTATTTTTAATTGCATTCAAGAGCTGGCACCTAAATTCTACAAAAAAGCTGTGCATTTTTTTCACTTTTACCCTTACGAGATAAAAATAATTGTTTTACACGACAAATTAAACATCATTCTTCCATCTCTGAACTTGTCTTTCAGCTCTGGTAGACGACCAAAGTTCTTTTTAAACACCACAGCCCATACAATACTTAAGTTCGCAGCCACACAATGGGTCAGCGAGTATTTCTTAGAAACAACAAACAATTTTTAGGGTTTTCCATAAGTGACTTCAAATTTGGCTTTAGAATACATGCTCGGTATAGCCAGGACCAAACTGGTAATCCGGGGATCGAGCTTGCGAAATTCTAATCCGAGCACCAGCATATGGAGTCAACCGGTTAAAATGAAAGACTTTCAATTTCCTACTGGGCGGACGTCTAATCCGGTAGATGACATCATTTATTCGCTTGATGATTTCGTATGGACTTTCAGAATGCTGTTGCTATAGACCTATTCGGTGCCTGAGATTGTATGGTCACACCAGGTCTCCTTCTACACTCCATCATGTCATATGTGTTCATCAGACGGTCACTAGTAATCTGCATGTGGGAACCTACAGTACTTCTTCGAGGATGTCATCAAGTTACTTTGGGAGTTCATTGACGTAGTTTTCTTGGGCAGCATCTTAGCCGGCCGCAGCTCCTGATCAAACAGTACTTTGGCTGATGCTTGTCCAGTAGTTTCATGGATGGACAATCGATATGTCAGATAACAATCCCAGTTTCTCTGAAGTGTGGATACTATCTTCAACAAGTACTTGTTAATGGTGCTGTTCTACTATTTCGTCTAACTGAGGATACAGAGGCATAGTCCGGGTTTTATGAGTTCACTATATCTTACAAATGTGCTGAAATACGATGGATTTGATGTTTCGGCCCTAATAAGAATGAAACTCTAATAGGGTGATCGGGTGTTTGACCAGTTCTTCCGCTACTGTAGCGGCTATCTGGTTGGTACGGGCGTACCCTTCCACTCACTTTGTGAAGTAATCCATTTCCACTACGACGTACCTATTTCCATAATCAGTTTCCGGAAATGGTCCTGTGACATCTACGGCAATTCTCTCAAATGGGCTGCCACCATTATTCTGGCGCATGGAGGCACACAGTCGCTTTTGTGGCCCCTTACTGACTGCGTTGCAGTGTGCACTTTTCACACCGATAAAAACGTTTACGTACCCTTTCAAAAGTCTTGTTAATTTCAAAATGTCCTCCGGAAGAAGCGTCATGAAGGTACTACAAGACTTCTTTTACTAAACTTTGTAATATGATAAGTTAATGTCTGCTTACAGTACCATCTAGGTTTCTTACCACCTATTTCAGAAGACCTTCCAGAGTAGAATCCCTTTGGGCCTACAACAATTTCACATCGGTAGATTTAGCAGTCACTTTTTGACGAGTCGGTCATTTTTTTTCTATTCTCAGAAGATTTCCAGGACCGAGTTAGAGTTTTGTTCTGTCTTGATGCTGTCAGGTGCTATTGCTCATCCTCCTAACTACATTGCTTGTGGATGGCTCAGTTTTCTGAGGTATCGTCCGGCTTATTTATATAGGCGAGATGCAGAAGTCCTGCGATATCTGGCTCGTATTCCTGTGAGCTTTTGACACCGGTTTCTTAGTTGGACGTGATAAACTGATGTCAAGTGCACTTGACCGTATCGGTTTTCAAATAGTTTTACCAGCTGTTGCTAGTCTCTTAATTCTTCAAGTCATAGCATATTTATTTCTTCAGAACTATAACGTAAGGTACAGTTCATGCATTAGCCCCTGCAGTTGCCTCAATTTGTATAAAGAAAGCTCCCATCGAACTTCATGGGTACCATCGTTGAAATGGGATACTACTGCTTTACGTCAATGTTTTCCTGAATAATGGTCATATTATCCTGTTTTCTGTAGTAGTATGTAGTTGTCTTCAGGAGCATTACTTCTAGCTTTTTCATTCGTGTGTCCATTTCCTTTGGCATTCAAGATTATTTTCTGTTTCGGTCAATTTTCGTCGAATGTCTCCAATTTTTCCAGCAATTTTCATTTAATTTTCCTTCTGAACTTTTTGAATTTTCATTTCCCTTCAACCACACACGTGTCAGGATCGAAGTCAACTCTCGCCAAAGCATCGGTGAGTTACTTATGCAATGTAAATTCATTATAAGTTGTGTCTTCTTCTATTACCTCCTTCACGTTTTAAATCACGTATCATCAAATAGGTTAATTTCTAATAATCTTATTTTTACTAGAAAATTCTATTTCTGTTGATTATCTTCATAACACACCTGATACCTATGCCTCAATTTTGTTTGCCCATCAGATCATGTAGCATTAGCACAATAGGGTTAGCTGTATTAGCTACGCTGCGGATTCAGTTGAAAAAAAAAACTTTTGGGTGTTTCATTCCCCATTAGCCAGTAATGCTGGTGGGCGGGCAGTCCTACCGGACTACGCCGGAAGGTAGGGCGGAAGACCTTCTTCAGCCTCTTTTCAGGAATCGTGGGAATGGGTGGGTGGTGGTTCGGGTGAGAAAGATGAGACGGACGAAATGAAGAAAGAACAGAATGAAAGGTTATCTGTGGAATATTACTGCCTCAGCATTTGCCTAGGTGATCCAAGGAAACCACAGAAAAACTTGGACTAAGGCAGACGGACCCGGAATCGAATGCTAAGCAATGGTCTAAACCTCTAGACCATGCCGCTCGGTATTCAGTTGAACAAGTCGACATCCTTATGGACCTTGTTGAACACTTTTGTATTCCACTAAAGATTTAACTCAGATGCTCATATACCATTAAAAAGCAACAAATTATGTATTTATTTATTAGATTGAGTGTACAATAGGGATACAATTACGAGTTACACTATCTTGTATACAATCGTAGTAAATACATTCTTTTTTGAAAACGGGCAGTTCGGTGGTTGCAGTATCCGATCAGTGCCCCATATATGCTTTCGGATTTTTTTTGGTTGTTGAAGAATACGTCACCTTTTTGTTTGTTTTTTATTTTGTACAATATGAACACTATATAGAACAAAATACAAAGTGTTGACTACATAGAAACACGAACAAAATTGAATTTCTACAAAAATTACATCTTTTCATTACATAGAAAGAAGCAAAAAAAAATATCTACAAGTATTAATTGAAAACGCAACAGTTAGAGCAACAAAATGAGCTTTTTGGTAACAAATTACGATAATGGTTATTTTGTGGATTTATAGTTTGGATATACTACGCTTATGGACATGTTTATCTGTGGTTTATTTGGCCCATTTTAGTAAGTGCTGGGACAATAATATCTTTCAGATAATCTTTCACTTTTGGCTTCATTTCGTCCGTCTTCGACGACTTTCCTCTGGTTTATAGGGACTGCCTACCTATCAGTATTAGTAACATCCAAAAGTTTTTAATGTATAGGGTTGTTCGGAAAGTCATTTCGTTTTTTTTTTTGTGGAAATGAAAGACAGTTTTCGTATAATAAACAAATACTTTATTAAATTATATATTGACCGTTCTGGTCCAACACCTTTTGCCATCTATCTGGTAGTAGCATAATTCCACGCTCATAAAATTTTTGGTCTTTGCTGGCAAAAAACTGATCGAGGAGGTTTTTGACCTCCTCATTTGAGGTGAAGGTTTTACCGTTTAAAAAATTTTGGAGTGACCGGAACAAATAATAATCCGATGGTGCCAGGTCTGGAGAATATGGTGGGTGTAGCATTGTATCCCATTCAAGCTGTAAAAGCTTTTGGCGAGTGACCAAACTTGTGTGAGGTCTCGCGTTGTCTTGCTGAAACACTACACCTTTCCTGTTGATTAGTTCTGACCTTTTCTGTTGAAGTGCATCATTCAGTTTGTCCAGCTGATGACAGTAGACTTCCGAATTAATCGTTGTGTTATTCGGTAAAAGCTCAAAAAAAAAAACGATTCCTTTAAAATCCCACCAAACAGACGGCATCACCTTTTTTTGGTGAATATCGGCTTTGGAAATGGTTTGAGCAGGTTCATCTTTTTTGCTCCATGACCTCTTGCGTTTGACGTTGTTGGAACCCATACATCGAGCTTCGAGGATAATCCCAGGTCTTTCAAGTGGTCATAAACTGTTGAATTTGATAAATTTAACCTCAATCCGATCTCACGTGTTGTTATTCGCCGGTTCACATCAACTAATGCCTTTATCGCGTCTTTATCAGCTTCAACCGGCCTTCCCGAACGTGGTGCATCTTCGACATCAAAATTGCCGGATCGAAATTTAGCGAACCAGTTCTGGCATTGGCGTACTGTCAACACACCTTCTCCATACACATCAGTCAATTTCTTTCTGGCTTGAACAGCATTTTTACCCTTTCTGTAGTAAAACAGTAAGATATGTCGAAAATGCTGCTTATCGCTCTCCATATTTAAAAGGGCACCAACCAAAAACTACTGCGTAGAATTAATTGGAATTTTTCACACACAAGCCTTGCTATATCAGCTCTCAAAGCATATAAAAATTATACGGCTTAAATGTGAAGTTGGGTGCAAAAGAATACAATTAAATCCTCTGTCGGGAAAAAACGAAATGACTTTCCGAACAACCCGATATTTAGCAACTTACTGAAATTGCCTATGGAGCGCCGATGAGATCAAATAAGATCGAAATAGTGATCAAGAACGATTCTTATACTTTATTTGTTTAAATTCTATAAGAAAACGATCGAATAAACTTTTTATAACAAAGTGAATCATATATATTTCCAACCCAATAACGACGCATTGAGTGCTTACAAAGATGGTAAAAGGTGAAATATGTTATTGGTGATGCCACTTATGAAGGAATGAGAAAACTATTTGAAAGGAATGTTCACGAATTGTGAAATTAAATAGTATTTTAGGTACTCCTACTAAGCGGTAATTAAACTGTGGAAACTGTTGCAAGTGCCACTACTTACCCTCAATGGGCTTCTCTTCGAACAGGAAAGCCGTGGGAAGGGAAAATATTGAACTCAGTAGCCAGGCAACACCGACCAATATTCGTGCTCGCTTCCCTGGAAAATGAAAGGTTAAAACCTTATTATAGAAGCATCAACGAATGCAAAAATTAATTACGAAAATTAGTAAATTATAATATTAAAACATCGCCAATACACAATTAGTTTTCGACTTAATTACTTAGGTAGATTCTCATATTTTAGTGTTATGTAGATAAGCGAAAAAATGGTAACAAAAGCAATGTAAGAGATGAATATCTACTAGATATGGTTCACAAACTTTATTTGTGATCAAGCCATGAAAATATATAGATACATATAATTTACTTACTATTAAAACTGAATCGACAAAAATAATAAATGTATAGGAATTTCAGAATATTTTAACTGTATAACAAACTTTAACTTATCCTTAGCCAATTTTTGCATTTCCCTAAAAGTAGAACATTCCAACTATTTGTGAACAGTAATCTAACCTAATGTAGATCTCCCTTCTAGTTTTCTTAACTCCTGTTTCTGCTTCTATTATCTTTCTAACTAGCTCTTCATGCCAGAGAAGGTGTCCTACCAACTTATCTCGCCTATTTCTTGCTGACTTCCAAAGAGTCCTCTGTTCTCCTATTCTTTTTAATACCTCTTTATATTTAACTTTCTCTACCCACAGTATCGTCATCTTTCGCCTGTAACACCATATTTCGAACTTTTTTCCGTCACCCCACCGTCCACGTTTCGCACCCGTAGAGCGCCGTGCTCCAGACATACACCTTTAACAACCACTTTCGAAATTCTAAATTAACCATTCGTGAGCGTAGAAGTTCCAGAAAAGTGCGTTATTTAACTTTAATACTTTTCTTTTAGGCCTAATTGTAGGGTAAATTTTCAAAGAGTATGAGTAAAATCTAAACTATAAATGAAATTCATTGTTTTACGTTAAAGACTGTTCCAAAAAATTATTGTTTGAATTTATTATAGGTTAGGTACACTAGTGTTGAATAGATAATTTAACATACCTACAAGATATTCAATTTACATGTAAACTTTAAAGGAGACATCATCTTTTGAAAAATAGGACGTGGTATAGAAAAATTCGTACAAATACCTTCAGCCATCATTTCATATAAATAATAAAATAATAATATCCATTGATATCCTGGTTAAAGATAAGTATTCTTCACAAATGCTTAAAACAGTACAAACAAACGTACCTAGACCTACAGTAAATTGAAGCATTATAAAGCAAAGTAGTAAAGTAATAAAGTAATATCAGTCCAATAAATGCATGCTAAAATTTTTAAGGTCTTACGCACTGCTCGAAAGATTTTGAAGGCTCGATTAGTTTGGGATAATTTTCAGTGAAGCAGGTGCCATTTTCAGATAGATTAAAAAATAAATTCCACCTGTGTTCATGCTCGCACGATATAATAAAAATTTCGCCAAAAATATGTAAAAACCATGTTTCTTTATACAGGATTGAATGATTTGTTTTAATAAGATCCTATTCCCAGCTTTATCTTTATCTCTTTGAAAATCAATATTAATATGTTCTAAGTAATCATCAATTTTCCTTTCTTTGTAACAAATTATTCTGCAATGCGAAAGGATCCTTCGGTAAGAATTTTTACGAAATTAGCAAGCTGGGATAATAAAGTCTAAAGTGGATTATATCTTGTATTTCCTCAGCTTTTAATATCTTATTCATCACGGAAATTGTTGTAAAAGACATAATTCAGGATTTTCCTAGAAAGTCTAAGATTAATTTTAATATAGGGGTTATTACGGTCAGTGACCGAGTCCTTTAATTTCGTTTTATTGTATTAGGTACCTACATAAAGCATTATTTAAACATAAAAATATAAATCCTCTCTTCCCTCCTCCATGTTACAAAATATCCTAATTTCTAATTGACGACGTGGTATAGGAAAATTCGCACAAGTACGAAGACATAGAAGAGTCAAACATAATCTTTATTTAGAATTTCGACTTGCAATTTCGAATTGAACAGATATTGAGATAACCACAGCATCAGAACATAGGCTTTTATAGCTGGAATCAATGGTATTGTTGAATTATTATTCAGGCTGTGCTCTAAATAAACTATTAGGTCCAGACGTTTCGTTGACAATTGTGGCTGAAACCTTCAGCGTTTACGTTGTCAATGTGGTATCACTGATGATGAAAGCCGCGATTGCCAACGAAACGTCTGGACGTAATGGTTCATTTAGACCACGGCCATTCAGTGTTGTGACGATTGTTATATGCAATTCAATTGTCTAGTAGGTTCAGCCGTCATCATCATAAGGTCGTCAATCCTAAAACAGGTTCGACATTAACCTCGACTCTTTCCCGAACTATCCATCCATTCTTTCCTGCATATGCTTAGCTAATCTTCGCATTTCCTTAAAAGTAGAACATCCCACGTCCTCAACTCCTGTTTCTGCCTCTAATATGTCTCTCACTAGTCCTTCATGCCTGAGAAGGAGCCTTACCAACCTATTTCGCCGTTTTTTATATGGTCCTCTGTTCACTTATTCTTTCTACTACCTCTTCCTTTCTAACCTTCTTCATTCACGGTATCATCATCATTCGCTTGTAATACCACATTTCGAACGTTTCTAACCGTTTCTTTTCCACCGCGCCTACCGTCCATTTTTCGCACCCGTACAGCGTCGCACTCCAAATATACACCTTTAACAATCCTTTTAGAATTTATAACTTAATCGTTCGCGAGCATAGAAGTGACTTTGTTTTCTTGAGGACGACTCGACCCGGCGCTATCTTCTGCTTTATATCCTCATCACTTTTTCCGTCTTGACTTATCCGACTTCCTAGATACCAAAAATCAGCCAATTCTTCCAATTTTTCGCCTCCTATCTTTATTTTTGATCTTTCCGTACTTTTTCTTCCCTCGCATACCAGTAGTTTTGTTTTACTTTACTTTTATTACTTTTAAAATGTCACATAAAAACCCAGCTTTGAATCGTAATGATTTAAAACATTGCTGAGCAATTCCTAATATCTGATAACAATACTACTTTTTGAAGTTCAAACTCATGTTTCATTTTTGAGTGTCTTCTAGAACTGGGCGTTTAGTACAAATCTGTATATGTTACATTACTTCAACATTAAGTTATTATACAAAAATACGTACATAATGTATAGTGTCTGTTAAAATGATAGAAAAAGGAAAGAGTGCGTACATAGGATTTGTAGATTTAGAAAAAGCATTTGACAATGTTACATGGGACAAGATGTTAAATATACTTAAAAATGTAGGGATGAGTTACAAAGATAGAAGAGTGATACTTAGTTTGTATAAACAGCAACAGGCAGTTATAGAGCTGGGGCTGCAACGTAGAGAAGTAAATATTAGGAAGGGAGTCAAACAGGGATGCACACTGTAACCGCTACTTTTTAATCTTTACATCGAAGACGCGATCAACTTCATTAAAGACAGTACACCTGTAGGGATAGATATAAAGGGGCAAAAGATTAGTATACTTAGATTTGCAAATGATATAGCAGTATTAGCATCTAGCAAGGAATAGTTAGAGATAGCTTTAAATAAAATGGAAGCCGTATTGGCAAAGAGTACTGTACGGAAATAAATAAAAGTAGAACAAAAATACTGGTATGCAAGGAAACAAAAAATAGGAAAAGAACGAATATAAAGATAGGGGACGAAAGATTAGAAGAAGTGGATGATTTTACGTATCTTGTAAGTAAGTCAGAACGGAGGAGCAGTAGGGATATAAAGCACAGGATAGCGCAGAGTCGAGTCGCCTTCAATAGTAATAAGGAGTCAGTTCTATGATCGCGAACGATTAATTTAGAAATTTGAAAAATATTGTTGATGTGATGCTTGCAGCGCGGCGTTGTACGGGTACGAAAATAGACGGTGGGCGCAAAAGAAAAGGTTAAATGTGGTTTTACCGGCGAATGATAAGGATACCGTCGATAGAGAAGGTTAAAAATGAAGAGGTATTAGAAACAATAGAAATACAGAGGACTCTATGGAAGTCAATAAGAAATAGGTAGGTTGGTTGGGCACCTTCTCAGGCATGAAGGGCTAGTCAGAAACGTATTAGAGGCAGAAACAGGAGTTAAAGGGAGTAGAGGTTAACCTAGATTAGTTTATTGTTTGCAAATAGTTAAGGAAGTGAGATGCTCTAGTTTCAGGTAAATGCGAAAATTAGCTCAGGATAGAAAAAAAATGGAGGTGCGTGCCCAACCAGTCATAGGACTGACGACCTTATGGCGGTGATGGTGACGTAACAGTATTAGTGTAATATCATCGGCATAATAAGCTACTGTCCAGATATTTTTTGTTCCCACAACTATCACCCTCCCCCTATTGCCCCTATACTTTTTCTCCCTTTTCTAAATCAAAATGATGTTTCATTAGGTATATGAGTGAACCAAATTTTCAATTTTTCAACTTTAGTTAAGAATTCATTAGGTAATGGCAGTCTACAACAGTAATATGTAGCGATCACCAGTTTTATTAGTCTACTGACTCAGCATAATATGAACTATAACAATATCAGTTAATTTTTATGGTTCATTTTAAAATCGACGACAAACTGCGGACATTACGATTACGGTTATCGGAAGTATATTTTCTAACCCTATAACTTTAACATAGCTTCTAGCGTTATACGTTTTGTCGGTAGCTGCTTTATTTTATATCCCTTTTCATATCGCATTAAATTAAAGTTTACCAACGCAGAAAGCGACGAGTACTGATTTAATTATTCACACTTTATTATTAAAAAGGACTTCAAACCTATAAATAAAAAATCTTTCTCTTCTTTTTGTTATTTACCGAGTTATATTCCAAAAAATACCAAAATACTATGTGCTACATTTAATTTGATTCTTCTAAATACATATGTAGTATCGGGAATGCGTGCTTTTTAGTTTATGGTAGGCTTAAAGTAATTTAGGAATAGTTTGTAATTTTAAGGGATTAAGTAATTGTTATCCGTATGTTTAGAATAAGAAGCAAAATATTTTTAAGCAATAAACTTTAAGAAAACTACTGCGTCCTCTCCAACCGT